AAAAAAAAAAAAAAAAAAAAAAAAAAAGAAGAAGGAACTCAAGATCCAATTCCTGAGCCAGTTTTAATTTCAAAAGCAAGTCATCTAGGGAAAGACTTGTTTCCCAGGAGAAGTGGAGTTCTTTGGATTTGGGAGTGTGATGGTGACTGCTCAGTCTGAATAAAAACAGTGTCACAAAGTAACTTACTGCTGCTTTGTGTCCTCGGGATTAATGAACCATTCTGTTAAGGACATCTATTTTCTAGCAAGCTAAAATAAAGATAGAGACTGTTAATGTTCTCATGTGTAGATACTAAAGCTGAGAACAGAGACATTCGCCCAGTGAGTTCACGGGACACCTGGGCTGGATCCGAAGTCTTCGCACTCTGAACTGAGGGCACTGCTCCGTGCTTCGTCTTGTCTCTCTTAGTTAAAGACCACAAATAGATAAGAGTGAAAAATGCACGTCCTGAGTTCGATCCCTGGTACAAAAAAAAAGTGAAAAATGCATTACAAGCCCAAATAATAAAAAATTACTAGTGTTGGAGACTGTGATCAAACAGGCCAGGCTTTCACAATAATGATGTTTATCGTATTATATTTTTACTATGTTCCACCCTAGTCCTTGTCCTGATGTTTGTGGTATGGATGAAACGCCGGGATAAAGAACGCCAGGCCAAACAACTTTTAATCGATCCTGAAGACGATGTAAGAGATAATATTTTAAAATACGATGAAGAAGGTGGAGGAGAAGAAGACCAGGTGAGCAATATTTTAATCTTTCGAAGGAAATTTTCCAATCATATAAATTAAATGGTGGTGAAAGGGTCACTACAAGGAAGAAGAAAATGCTGTCAGGTTTTTCTTTTTTGTTACCACAGGATCAGTCATTTGATGACTTCTTTCCTATGTGTGCCACACATGTATTGAGGTTTTCAAAAGTACCAAATGCAATTGTATTCATTGTATAAGACGATCATTAGCATTTTTTCAAGGAATCCAGAATTTGAACTCAATTCTAGTTACATTTGTACTTAAAAGATACTTTTTCCAGTTTCATTCCTTTGGATATTCAAAATATAACTGAAAGTAGTTTCCACCCTGGGATCTTGATATTTATGTGTATGGTAGAAAAGGCATTGAACCTGTTCATCCCCAAGAACATTTATCAAGCAGTTTCCATATTCTAGGCACAATTTTAATCCCTGAGAATACAGAGGTGCATGGAGCCAACAAATATTCGCCCTAGGGGTTTTACACACACGTAGAAATACTTGAAGTGAGAGACAACATCTAATTCATGGTTGTATCCATCATGGTTCCTGGTGCACAGTATTACACAATATTGGGTGTCCACATTCCCTTTGCCCTTAAATTAACATGAGCTTCATAACACCACGTACATATGGAACTTCAAACCATTTCAAAGATGGGATGCCTAATTGATGTAAAGCAAAGATTTTTGCTCAGAAGCAATGTTTTATACATTGCAAAAGTTGATAATTCTAAGATCTGCTCTGAGGGCCAGACATATTCTGCTCAATACCTTAAATGCTATTCTCTCTTAAACCTTTGAAATTGGTGATATTATTGGGAATTTTGTTGATTGAAATCTGAGCCAAAACAAAATTATGCATCTAGGAAATAATAAATGGAGGACTTGAGTTCACATCTGTCTCATGTCACAGTCTAAACTTACTACTCTAATATGTTTCTTTTGAAGTTTTCTGGAATCTGATAATATAATTCGTGAGAAACTGCTATGCCAGGTATTTCTTAGATACAGTTGTTAGGTCATTTGTGTTTACTGAAAATGCCAGAAACAGTAGTCTGCAAAGAACGCAGAAATGTTTGGGTTTTGCATCACTGTTGGGAAATGAAAATGTACCTGTCTTAGGTACCTGTATGTGTAGAAGTCAATGGTAGAGCTATTACCTTGAATAAAAACAAATTTTCATGAACATAGTTTCTCTTTGAGGAAATGATGTGTCACTTTTTGTTTCACAAAGCACATTCACATCCATTCTTGTGTTTAATCTTTGGAGCAGTCATTTAGTATAAATGCATGTTTAAAATATGTTGAAAACTTGACTCAAGTGTTTAAAACTGTTTTGAATACTGACTAATTAAAGTGGCTCTATAAATATACCCCAGGGTTTCTTGCTTATAAATGCCTTTGAATTTTAAAATTCATGTTTGGCTTGATTCTTAATTAATCTATCCTTTCACTTTCATAAGCTGTATTCAAGATCATCAAATGTGTATTGATCACATTTTCTCATAAACCCACTTGCATTATTTTATTTTTCTTGTCACTGTTTATTATTTTGAAGACGTAAACCTAAAACCAACTCAATAAAGCTTAAGTAAAATTAGTCTTAACTGGAAAGCCACCAATAATAACCAGATATTGCACAGAACTGGAGCCCCAGAGGCAAGAACCAAGATCCTTCTCAGCTTCTTAGAGTGTGGACAGGGTACCTGAGGTCACCTAATCTGAACCTCCTCTCCCACATACACACACACTAATCTCTTCAAAAGATTGTTTAGTAAGGCTCCCTTGTATTATTTTAGGAAAGATTTATTTCTGTAATGACTTCAACCCCTTAAGATTGATGCTTGATATCACATGGTAAAACCTAGCTATTGGTAGGGAAAAGAATGCAAAACAATATTGGCAGAAAAACTCTGGCCTCAGGGAATCAAAAACATGTAAGATCAAATTCCTGATCCAGTTCTAATTTCCTGCCCAAGTCATCTGGACAGGTACTTGTCCCCTTGGAGAAGTGCCATTTTCCTTCAATTTGGGAGCATAATGATGCCTAACCAACCTGAATAAAACCAAAACATTTAATTTGATTGCTGTTTGGTGTCTTTGTAATTTATGAAGCATTTTATGAAAAAAATTTAAATACCATTATAAGCCTTCAACTTCTTTCCTGACCTCTGAATCTTCTAGGCCTCTATATTAACTCTTGAGCAAGAATGTGTTGCTTCTTACTCCTCCAGTACCTTAGGATTTTTCTAGAACTTTCTGTGGCTAACTTCTTGGTTTAATACTGATTTTCCTGTGGTGCCTTTAGAACTTCTTGGTTCTTTGTTGCCATTTTAGTCTAGATCAAGAGCCTCCACATGTCTCTGGTCCTCCATTGCAATTTTCCCATGGAGTGCAGTTCTCATTGTAGACAATTGTAAGAAAAATGTAAAGTGCATTTGTATTCATTTAATTTTTACCTCAATAAAATTTGTAGTATAGGAATATTATGCTGATGGTTCTGTCTCCTTAACCTCTAAAATGTATCATGAAATCTATTCCCTTATCCAGGACAAAGTACCCAGATTTTGACACTTTAGTGGCCATGAGTGGACAAGCTTGATGGATTTGCATTCTGAGGGAGTCTCCGTTCACCCCCAACTCTTTCCCAGAGAACTCTCCTTAGTTTTCAAGGGTTCACCACAGGTTGGGTGCACGGCCAGAGAGCTGCCATGCAAAACAGCCTGGATTTGATCCGTGTGAAAATGTGGATGGGATGTTAAACCAGAGTCGACCTTCCCTTAGGAAACTGCTGTAGGACCAAGATGATAAAACCTCAGGAGGGCAGCAGCCATCCTTGGGTGTTTGCAAGGAGAGCACCATAACTTCTTATCCCAGAAAAGGATCGAGAGGGAGATGAACAGGAATCTGCCTTTAAAAGCTATGCTGTATCTCTCAGAAAGGGCTTCTTTCCTCTGATTTTATTCACTTAGGCATTATTTTGTTCTCAGCTGTCTTATGGTTTTGTAGAACTGTGCTTAGTTAACTTATCTGACTTGTTCTTTTCATTAGAATGTGAGTACCAGTCTTAAAACTTTGTATCCCAGCAAGAAGCAGGTTTCCTGCAAGTTTAAACATGAAACCACCACCCATTTTATCTGTGAAATTTGTCCATGGTGTCCAGAAGCAGTTCGTTTTTGACACCAGTAAACAGTGTACTGTCATCAGAACTAACCATGTTCTGTGAATCTATTTTAGATTAGAACTCAGATATTTGAGTTCATCCAGTTAGATTATTACAAATAAAACTGTTACACGCGTTCGTATACATGCATTTTGTGTGTTTCTCTTGTTGTATGCATGTGTGTGGCTGGATAAAATCCTGCCAGCTTCCTGAAGTGACTGTAAGTGTAGACCTCCCCTCCCTTTTGTAGGTGAAAGCTCTGATTACCCCACATCTTCATCCTCATTGGCAATGGGATTTTTTTTCAGTCTTACCTCAATAAAATTTGTTGAGGTCTCACTGTATTTACTGGGGTCTTCCTGTTGGCATATTTACCTTTTTTTGGTAGCAGAGATCAAACTTAATGTATTTACCATTTTCATGCCTTCTTCTATAAAATTTCTGTTTATCTGTCTGTCTACTTTTCTGTGGGGTTGTCTGATTTTGGTTTTTTTTTATGTATTGACATGTAGGACATCCTTATATAATATAAAACTGAGTTCTTTGTCACATAAATATTGTGAATACCTTCGATTATTTTGTAGCTTGCTTTTTTAAGAGTCATCTTTATGATGTCTTATAATGAGCAGAAGTTCTTAATTTTAATACTGCCCATTTTATCAAGTTTTACGATAAAGCAAACTTTACCTGCTCCAACTTAGTGAAGCTCTCCCTACCTCAAAAGTGGAAGCTTACTCATTTTGTCTGTATAACTGCGATCTATCTGTAATTGATTTTCTATTTGGAATAAGATATGGATCTCCACTTTTTTAATTTTGTCCCTTTATGAATATACAGTTCCATTTATTAAAAAATATAATCATGTTTCACTGTCATAAAGCACATGATTATATCTTTATGGACCCGTGGATCTGCTTTCTGGCTATTCTGCACTACTTTTCTATTTGTCTGTTTTTGGTCTAACGTAGTTTTAGTTTCTATTGCTTTTATTGTCTTGATATCTGATAAAATAAATTTTTTGAAATTTAGTTTTTATGGATTCTTTTACCTGTTTTTCCCACTTTAAAAAAAATGGTTTATGTAATGCTCTTACTTTTACTTTCTAGGTTTATTGAACCCAAATACTTCATTTTCTGTATACATGTTCTTCTTTAGATATTATAGCATGGTCAGTTTTTTGATGAATTAGGCTTTGTTGAAATAAACTGTATTTATTTTTCATAATTTACATGTGGCTCCCTATTAGAAGTTCTATTTATCTGTAATGTGCATTGAGCCTTTTAGGCAATAGAATTTGATTCATAAATGTTTTATTAGTTTTTTCAAGACATCTGTACAACAACGGGCTTTGGGAATGGGACTGGTGCCACCCACGCTCTAGATGAGTTTTCATTGATGTTTATTACACAGAGCTGGTGTTTCATGGAGTATAGGTGTTGCCTGAAGGTATGGATGGGGATTGTATTCTGGTCCGCAAACAAGGCTCCTGGCAATCAGGTGGAGGTCTGGTCTGCTTACATATCAGCTAGACAGTCTAATTTATAGGATATGGTTTGCCACAGCTAAGTAGTATTCTCTTACAAGAATTAGACACATTTTATTTTTCCAATTCTCAAGGACTAGTAGGTCTCAGAGATTCAGTTTAACAGTCTGTGGATGCCCAGTGATGACCATGGTCACTACAAGGGTTAGGTTTATAGCAATCACTGCAAGATTAGCTTGAAGATGGCTTTGCCATGACTTCCTCTTCTTTGTGACAGAGCACCCTTCTTACTGGCAGCTAAGTGATTAGAAAGAAACCTGGGCTAAACAGTCCTTCACAAA